GTAGTTTGATAAAGTTAAATTTGACCGGTAATAAGTTATCTGGTGTTATTCCTGCAAGTTTTGGGAACTTGAAAGAGCTTACTCACTTGGATTTAAGCCATAATGATCTTTCTGGTGAGCTACCTTCTTCCTTGTCCCAGATGCTTAACCTGGTGGGGCTTTATGTTCAGCAGAATAGGCTCTCTAGTGGGGTGGGCAACTGTACTCCAATTCCCTGGCTTGGAAGATTGAAGACATGAATTTTTTGATGGAAACTTGCCGCAATCTTTGGGCAATTTGTCTTACTTAACATACTTAGATCTTCACGGGAATCAGTTTACTGGTGAGATTCCTTCAGAAGTTGGTAACTTGATGCAACTTGAGTATTTTGATGTATCTGGAACAGATTATCTGAACAGATTCAGAGAAAGTATGCGGGCTGTTCAATCTACTCTACTCGAATCCGGCAGAAAACCAGTTGGGAGGACCTGTGCCCAGAAATGGTATTTCCTGTCAACGAAACAATGACCCGTATGGGAGAATTATGGGTTCAGATTGTCAGATCAGAAGTTTTGACAGGTCCTCTTTGTTAAATGCTTGGGGTCTTGCAGGGATTGTGGCTGCAAATGTCTTTATCATTTTCACTTCAGCCTTTGCTCTACGGAGATGGATTATGAGGGTAGTCGGCAAAGTGATCAAGAAGAAATTGAGGAAACTAAATTAAAAAGCTTTATTGATCAAGAGCTCTATTTATTGAATAGCCACTCCTGAAACTAACACTGGGACATCCTAGAGGGAACCAGTCACTTTTATAAGACTAATGTCATAGGAGATGGAGTCTTTGGAACGCTTTACAAAGCTAAATTGCCTAGTGGGAAGACTGTTGCAGTTAAGAAGCTAAACCAGGCCAAAATACAAGGCAGTCGAGAATTCATAGCTGAAATGGAAACCTTGGATAAGGTGAAGCACCAAAATCTTGTTCCATTTCTTGGATACTTTTCCTTGGGTGAGGAGAAGCTCCTTGTTTATGAATACATGATTAATGGAAGTTTGGATCTTTGGTTGAGAAATCGCACTGGACTTCTTGATGTCCTTGACTGGTCCTAACGATTCAAAACTGAATGGGTGCTGGTAGGCGACTAGCTTTTCTTCACCATGGTTTCATTCCTCATATCATCCACAGAGATATCAAAGCCAGCAACGTCTTACTCAGTGAATACTTTGAACCAAAAGTTGCCGACTTTGGGCTGGCAAGACTGATTAGTGCTTGTGAAACTCATGTTAGTACTGAAATTTCTCCCGCTCCTCAAAAGCCCACAGGAACGGAGTTGATGCTCCCACATCCATAGCATGAGTAGTTAAAGCAAGTGAATGATTTGAAATTCGAGTTATTTCACGGAATAACACTCGTATATATTGAGCTCGTAATGGTACCGCGCAATTCAAAAGTCTCTCTACGGCTGAAGAATGGGCAGGGACTTCTGGTTACATTCCACCAGATTATGAACAGAGTGGTAGGTCTACTACAGAGGGAGATGTTTATAGTTTTGGTGTAATTCTGCTGGAATTAGTGACTGGGAAAGAGCCAACGGGCCCCTATTTTAAAGAGATTGAAGGAGGGAATTTGGTTGGCTGGGTGTCTACGAAAATGAAAATGGGTCAGGCTGTGGATGTTTTAGATGCGATGGTTTTGAATGCGGATTCAAAGCATATGATGCTTCAGGTGCTGAGCATTGCCGAATTTTGCCCGTCTGAAAATCCTGCTATGAGACCTACCATGCTTCATGTGCTGAAGCTCCTCAAAGGGATCAAGGAGGAACAATTGTCTTTCTGCTAGGAAGTATAACTGGAAGAGGAAGTATAACAGGTTTCTTCTCAAATAATCTTGTAAAGTATTTACAAAGAAGTTAGAATCTATATGGTATGAGATTTCAGTTGCTAATCTAATAATATTTTAGCGTTATCACTTCTCAATAGCCATAACTGACAGTTATTTCACTTCTGCCTTCTCTGTAAATCAAGATCCTAGCAACTAGTACTTAGCTATATCTTGCATTCTAAGCAGAAAATCAATTATAGTTCAATTCTACAAAACCTTAGACTCCTAGTCAGATGGATTTTCTTCATGGTTTAAAACTCTAAAGTCTAGTGCAACGTTGTTATTTGGGCTTTAAAGCTACCAAGTATTTTTCTAGATATCGGCATAAACTCAGCGCAAGTGACGAAACGTAATACTAGGATATATTTGCATTGCTTAGAGCTAACAAATATGCTGCCTGAAATCTCACGTGGTTGACCGTTTTTCTCTTCTCTTGCAGGTTTCCTTTTTCACCTTTCCAAGTGAATTGGTTCTCTTTTTTCTTGGTTGCTAAGTGGATGGGACGGGAATTAGTTTATTGTCAAACCTTACTCCAGTGACCTGCTACTTCCGGCTTCGTGTATTCCATTCCTCTAAAAAAATAGAGTAAGCAAATCCAGGCTTTTTGTAACTTCATTTTCTTGGTAAACTACCTAATGAAACTGGGTCATGTCTGATCATTGTCTTCAATCATCTGTTCAGCACATTATTGTAGTATCAGAAAGGCATTGCAGGATATGGTCCGCGCATGCAACTGTAAGTTGGAGTATATGTCGCAGCCTTTTGCTTCTGCTTTTAGTTTCAAGTTCCAATCCAGTTTGGATCAATTAAGGCCTTAGCTTTCCTGTGTTCTTCTAACGGCTGTCTAGGCTAAGTGGATTATGGAAGGGCTTGGAGGAGCCTTAATTAAGATGGTGTATATTCAATTTTAACATTTCCCTGGTGATGCTAGCTATGTCCAGGCTAAGAACAAATGAGATACCAAAATGGATATTGTAACTGTCCGTCTTTCCAGAATAGTGCATCATATCTTTTGCTCCTCACAAAACTAGAAACGATCGAGTAGCTCTTACATAAGCTACGACCCTGGTTTGCGACCAGCCTGTATTATTACCTTATTCATTTTTACATATTTACTTACAAGTAAAGATCTTTCATAGTGGTAAGTTTATTTATGGTTTACAGATATTTCTATAGATTTCATTAATCTTTATGTTCTGACTTTGCATATAGAACAGGAGAATCTGTAACGATCTCTGGTTTCTCCTGTAACGATCTCTGGTTCCTCATTATGGACCTTATAGAAATGTATGAACTCTGAATCATGCTAAGAGACCAAGGCAAGCTGTATGAATTTCGCATCATTAACCCGAAAAAAAAACCTGTATCCCTAGATGATGGTTGCAAATCCAGGCCATGCAACTGTATTATGTGCTCCTTTTTGCTGAAATTAATTTGATTCTCAACATTGCAATAATTTTTTATTTTTCTATTTTTTGCAATCAATACTACAATAATGCAGTTTCATATTAATATAAATATAAACATATAGTGGCAGATTATATGATTACCTCCAAAATTATTCCTGTAAAATTTTAGGTTATTTTTTTTAAACAAAAAAAAAAGGTTATGGAAAACATTGTTCCTGCTTTAATTGAATGATAAGAGTTTGAAAGCATGCTTTACTGGTATGCAGAGGTTAATAAGTTTTCTTCTTTGTTTGTTGTTTTTTTTTCTTTTTTAAGACACAAGTTTTCTTCCTTCTAGGTGTAAACAAGCTGATCCTTTTAATGTACAGTGAATTTGTCCATAATATGACATTATTGTCCATACTGAATATTTAATGAAAACAAAAATCCAAAACCAGCCTAAATAGGTTTTGGACGGGAAGGCTCTTAGGCACTTTCGTTCAAACAGTCAATAGTTGCAGCTCTCTCTCTCTCTCTCTCTTTTTCTCTCTCTTAATTCTTTGAGTGAATACGAAAAAGCTAGTCAAAAAATATCCTAGCTTTTTTACTAGCTTTAGATTGTTGCTTTGTGAAGAAACCTGTAGACGCCAAGCAGGAAAATGCACGCCCCTGTTGCAATCAATGCGGTTATCAAACATTACCTAATGCTTTTTAAAATCAGTCCATAAAGCCATCGCATGCGAGCTGCGAATCATGACAATCTACACAATTTTTTTTTTTAAATGTGGTTAAGGGCTCCGTTTCCACACCTGCGGTTCCTATCATCTACAGCTTTTCTCTTCAATCATGGAGCCAAGACTTCTTGTTCAACAGTGTCGCCTTAGCCGCTACATGATAACTCTAATTTTACTATCTGAATATTTTAGCATTTCTCAATTCCAAATTCCAGATGTATAATTCGAATTTATGTGTTGAGAAACATAAATAATGATATTATTATATGCATATTATAAAAAATATCGACATCGCATTGGAATCCATTTTTTTCAAAGTCTTTAATATTATCTTAAGAAAAGACACAAAAGTACAAGTATTATTCTCATTTATCATGTATCGTGTGATGTCAGCCGCCAAAAGTATACGAATTTTCCAGTTTACTTATATCAAGGCATGATCATAAAAGAATTTACAAATTCTCCATGAAAGTTCCTAAGAAAAGAATAAAAGCTCTAATTTAATTTACTAAAGCTTACTTAGACTCGTTTATTAAATAAAAATATTAAATCAAATTCCATTTCAAAATTTGTGTGTTGGTTCTTTAACAACTAAATAGCATTGGGAGTTAATGACTTTTAAAAACTCAACGTCTTGGACATCAGCATTCACAAACTCATATGCCTTTTGGAATCACTAAATTTTTTGTTAACATTGTTATACTTGAGTGATGACGTCAGCTAATTTTACATAGTCCGTCATCCGTAAAGCATAAAATATAAAATCAGATCATAGAAATGATCTATTCACTGCTTAATTCTATTTACCTTCTCCAATTGCTTGTTGCTTCCCCTATTTTTTTTTCTTTCTCGTATGTCTTCCTGACAAACTATCTTCGACGCCCCTGATTTTCTTTCTATGACAGTTTGCACATACTTTTTTTTTTCTTTAATTTTCTCGAACGTTAAATTCTACGCTCATCAATGGTTAGATTTTCATTATTAAGTAAAAAATAAATCAATAGAGAAGTAAAATAAGAATTTAGACCTTAGAATGCCCTTTCTCTTATTATTTTTTTTTCTCTTATATACAGAAAAAGAAGTCCCAAGAAAATTCTTCAACTGGGAGGTCAACCTCCACTCAAAGGTTTCACAAAGCAGTACGTGACTCCTTTCCGCATGTCCGTTTCCTTCGCACTAGAGGATTCTGGTCGGATCCAGCGTTCCGCGGATCGATCATCATCAGCCCAAACAAAGCTAGTCTAAAACTACCTAAAAACCGAACCAAAATCAGTTACAAACCCTCTGATTCGCTCGGTGCAACTGCCGAAGCCACGGCGTGTCTTGATTCCCACGATAATCGTCGCGTCCCGCGTTCTGGCAATCCATCGGCTCCGATTTGATAATCTCGTTCCCACTCCCACCAGGCTGCTGCAGCTGTAATTGTGTTACATCCTCTACCGTTACACCTTCCCATTCTTTCCTTGTGCGCTTCACCCCTCCTCCAATTGGCACACCGAACAACCTCGGGCTTGTTTCTTCCTCAACCGCTTCTTCTCCTATGTCCGATAACCGCTTTACTGGCAACAAGTCTAACGGTTTCGTCGCCGGAAAACTGCTCTCCGGTAGAGAATTCGCATAATTCGACATTAAAGTGAATATATTATTGCACAAGCTCTTCATCTCCGCTAATTGTTTGTTAAGCTGCATGTTCTCTTTCCTCAATTTCTCGTTTTCTTCCATGAGCTCGGCCGTAACGGTTCCTGTTTGGCCCGCTCTCGAAGGCGATGAGGCCGATGAAATGACCGGATATTGCTCGTCTGTGGAATTCGACAGAGATATAATCGGTTTTGCGATTGGAATCGCCGCCACTTTCGCCGGTGCCAACGCAACAGACGTCGCTGTTGGCGACGACATCTTTCGACGCTGGATTTCGTATAGAAGCCGCTTTTCACCACGTCGGAAACAATCGTTCGAGAATTCCCATCGATCAGGTACCACTTTTCTAAATCCCTAAAATAATTAATAAAGCAACAAGCAAATCAACATAAAAAAATTTGCACGCTTAGAACTTAGAAGGAACATATTAAATTAGAGAAATTGTGTTTTTTTTGGTGGGGGGGGGGGGGGTTATTTTGCTTACGTAAGTATTGAGTTGACGAACGAAACTAGAGAAATTGTTATGCTTGAAATATTTAGGAAGCAAATCACGAGCGAAAACGGCAGCGTTCCAAACGATGAAAGTAGATCCATCGTCGTTCCATGAAATGACATCGTCAATTGTTTGATCATCTACCAATTGATAAGTTTTAGTCAAAAATGGTGTGGGGACAGACCTCTGCGATTCTCCTCCAGTCGTCGTCGCCTCTCCGTTTTGCTCCACTGGAGGCGGAGCCATGAACGAAACAAAATTTTTTTCCTTTTTTTTTTGAACTTGGGAGAGAGAGGGGGAGAAGAGCTGCTTGTTAATTCTAGAAGGTTCACCTTTTTACGGGATGAGGAAACTGATAAGGGAAGGGGAAGAGACAGAGAGGCAAAGGAACGAAAACAAAGGCAAAGTGAGATTGAAAAGAAGAAGAGAGGAAAGAACGAGAAGCTGCGTTACGTCTCGTCGAGAAACTTCCCGTTGGGTATTCTTCTTTATACGTGGCAGAGCATGAGTGGGTACCACATTTTTCTTGGTTTTGTCTTCAGAATTTTACTGTTTTGATCGGTACAATCTCTTTTGTTTTGTCCGTAATTTGATTTGAAAGATAATTTCATGAAATTTACTGAAATTCTCGATATTGGAATTACCGGTTGATTCCCAAGGTCCGCAGCTGTCGGTATTGAGTAAGTAGTAATAAGAATCCAAGAGACAAACAAGGTGGGAAAAAAGGGCTATCTGTCTTCATTACAAGTGGTTTTAGCAAGTACCAACAATGCCCAACCAAATAAACCTTGTTCAAGAAGTTGTCTTTTTAATTAGATTGTATCGAAGCAAAGCTACAGCTACGACAGCCCTGTAAGGCAATAAAAATCATATATATGCTGCCATGCCACCTCCTCCACTTCCTTTGTTATTTTCTTATTGTTGGGGACAAATCTATCCCTAACAACCACCAAATCCCATCTCTCCATTGTCAGTAGGTTCTTAATTAAAAAGTAAAAAAAAATATGGTTTCATTGCTGATTAATTAAAAAGATTGTTGAATTCGATCTTTGTATCCTATTTTGTTGCTTTCCCTTTATTAATTACTACTACTCTTTTATTTGCACAAAATATTGACATTGAGAACAATAAATTTATATATATATATATATCATTTATAGTCTATATATAAATATGTAAATCTTAAAAGTATTAATAATGCCCAATTTAAATATTTTTATAAATTTTTATATAAAAATATAAATTTTAAAAGTATTAATAGTGATCGATTTAAATATTTTTATATAATTTCAAATTAATAAATTTATTTTTAAATATATAATTTTTATTAATTTATTTAAATTTAATTTAAATCAATTAGAATTGAAAATAATATTTATGTAATATTAAACTACTTAAAATTTTAAAATTTTAATTCTAAAAGTGATAAAAGATTGACTAAAATATTCTTAATAAATATGTTTATAAATTTTAATTTAAATAAATTGTTTTTTCTTGTTAGACAAAAAAGTATTAAAAATGATTAACTAAAATATCCATAATAAAATTTTAATTTAAAAAATTTTAAAAGTGATTGGTTAAAATATCATTAGTAATTTGTTATAAATTTTAATTTAGATGATTTTTTAATTATTATACAATATTTTTTTATAAGTAATGATTTTTCACGTCAAATGAAAATACAAATAGAATGAGATCAAAATTTAATGTGCATAGGAATAAAATAATTATATGGAATTTTTTTCTTTAGTTGTTGTAAAAATAATTGTATATGTGGTTTATGTTGATAAATAAATTCATTTAAAATAATCATAATTAAGTCATTTAATCATTTTTTTTGTCTTTCAATTTTTTATTTTAATATATTAACTATATATGTATGTTAGTAATTTTATTATTTATATGTTTTATGAGTTAATCATTTTATCATTGATAACATAATTAAATATTTTTAATCCTTTGAAAGAATTCTTTCATATATTATTTTTACAGTTTAGTTTGACTTTTATAATTAATTTCTCTTTTATATTTTTTCTTTAAAATTTTATAATTGTTATTCCCATGAACAAAAATAATATCAAATCAAATGCAAATCAATTGTATCATCTCTACTAACAATTAGCATTATGTGATTTATTGAATACTTTAATTAGATTTTTTACTTAAAGAACTAGATGATTTAGCAGGCGGTAAAGTTATCAGTAGTTCAAGATTGGGTTTCACCAAATTGTCAAAAGAATTGTTATCTTGATTGAAACAATAATAAATTTAATTTTCTCTTAACTTTTTATCTTATATATGCATATATATATATATACATAATTAATTTATATCTCAAGATTATTTAATCATTCTCAATTGCATTAAATTGCTTGCTTTTTTTATTTTTCAAGTAATTGAACGACCTAACGTGAATTATTATAAGTAAAAAATTATTAAGTGAAGTAAAGTTAATTGTTTTTGGTGAATTTTTTCAAGATGTGATAAAATTCATTGAAACTATCTTATGAATGTGTTTATGCCAATGTTACATTCATTCATAAAAATTTATGTTGTTAATCCTGAAAATGAAATCATTATAAATTGTGTAGATATTATATACTAAGTTTGTTATTCTTAAAATTGAAATTTTCTTAAGAAAACATAACAAGTACCAAGGTTAGAAATTTATTTTATTTTATTTTATTGTTCAAAATTATGTATTTTAATATTTTTATATAATAAAAATTTATGTATAATAAAATTTTTAAGTAAACAAAAATTTAAACTTTCAATTAATAGCACATACAATTACATTCAATTGATAAAAATATCAATAGAAGATTATCTTAAGCAGAAGAATGAGACGAAAAATTGATTGATTATGTATAATTTCATCTTCTCCATACAACAAATAAGGTTAGTATTATATGATGTTTCAACGAAAAATATACGAATGTACTAATTTCAAATTTGTTTAGAATTAATATGAAACTTTTTTATGTAGAGAAATATTGTATACTCCTTCATTTTCTCCTTTATGTCAGTTGAAGAATATTCACTGTTTTATCAAAATTTTTAATGTTACCATATTATATAATACTTACTCAAAAGAATTGAAATTCACCAAATTAATTTTTACTATTACATTTAATATAAAAATATTATTATAAATTATAATTTAACTAAACTTAAAAGTGATTTAAGGGTATTCCTTAGCAAAATTTATTTAATAAATTTTTATTTAATTGTGCATTTAGTATTTCATTCATTTTGTTTTTTACTTTTTGTAATTTCAAATTAAATTTTAAACTTAGAATCAATGACCAACTAACTCGAGTCAAGTTTTATCATCTATTTTTATTTATAGTGTATTCAATTATTCACTTATACAACTGTGAAAATTTGACCCAATAATTGTTGCATGCTTCTTTTTTGTTTAAAAATTAGATTCAAATCATCCTAAATCCAAATAAAAAAAGAATATAATCAATTACTTATAATTGTAATTGTACTTTAGAAATATTCTTAAACTTAATTAACTAATTTAACTACAAAGACAATAAAAAAAAGACATTAAGATGAAAGGAAAATTTTAAATAAGGAACTTTTAAATTATTATGAAAAATAAATAAAAAATATTGGATTTTAATTTGGTTACTATTTTAATTTAGATTTCGATTATGTTCAACATTTTGGGTTTTAAATAACTACTAAAGGCCTATTTGGGTAGATTGTGAGATTAGTTTCAGTGAGATTTAAAATAATAGTAAAAGTAAGATTAATTACTATAACAGTAAGATTACTTATTATAGCGAAGAAATTAAAATTAGTGGTATGATATGTGTTTAGATACAAAAGTAGTGGTGATAGTGAGGTAAATTATAATATGAAGAGAAAATGACCATTATAGACATTAGATTAAAATTTGTATTTAATAAAAATTTTAAATTATTTAACATTTATAAAATTATTAAATAATTGAAATTTTATTAAATTATTTTTATGTCAAATAATAATTTTATTAAAAAATAATTAAAAATTAATAACAAAATTACATATCAAATAATATTTTTTATTTTTATTATTATTTATGTAGTTATCTATTTTTAGTACAACTAATAACAAATTTTATTTATATAGTAATATTATTTATTTATTTATCATATTAAATTAAATATTAATAAAATTACTTTACAGTTTTTAAATAAAAAGTCATAATAGAAAAAAACAAATGTTAAGTTTTTTAGTAAATAGAAACACATTTCAAGGCTATATAAGAATGAACAAAATTTTTTGGGGGTAAAAAGGTCTAGTTGGACATCAATGGTTTAGTTAACCCTTAGCTCATGGTCCAAAGTTAACTTCTTAGTACGATCAAAAGATCTAAATGCACAAAATGTGATGTTATCCAAATTATATTTATAGTGGGATTGTGCTAAAAAGATAAGCTATTTGCATCTCACCGAAGATCCACTAACATCCAAATCAATCCTAAGTTATTGCCTTTTTATAATCAATTAAAATTAAGTTAAGTTAGTTCTTTTTTATAATTATGTGTATTGTATTATTTTTAATTAAATTAAAATTTAAAATAAGTAAAAAAATTATTTATATTCAAGTTGAGTTATGAATTATTTCAAGTTTGAGTTGATTAATCCATGTAATTTTAGTAATACTTTTATTATATCAGTAATAAATTTCAAAATAGAATGAGAACATAACAAAATGAAAATTTAAGTGCAAACGTAATGAAAATACTGATAATAATTATAGAAAAATCTTTATGTCCAAGTTTTGCAGAGATTAAAAAATATATCTTCTTTTGAGAATTTTGAAATTTATATTGCAAAATTTTAATCTAGATTAACGAGTTATAATTGTTCATTTCTTAATGAAGTTGTTGCTTTATGGGTTGAAAGAAACAATTCAAATATTTCTTTTGAAAGAGATATAATAGTTCATACTCATTTAAGAAGACAACATAAAGTTAAACATTATTGGGGTTGTTATGACCACTTGCAATCTTCTTTGCTCTTTTTAAATGGAGTAGTTGATTGGCATCAAAAAATCAAAAAAATCATTTTAGATGATAGTAATAAGAACGAAGTAACAATTAAAAAATATATCATTTTTTGTTTAGTAGAAAAATTTTTTATAGAAAATATGAAGGTAATTATCATGAACTTAATATTTTCTAAAATTATTGTCTATTTAATTTTTATAAATTTTATTTAGTAAATTTTTTCTCATTACTTTTATCATATATATAACAAAATTTTTATTCAAAATTATATACTTAGAGATACAAACACAAAGCAAAGTTTATTACTTCCATTATGATAGAACACTTCAGAATTTTCAATATTTAATATGCAATTTTATTTTACTAATAAGTATGAAAACACATATTAATAATTCAATTAAACCATTAATAAAACTTATCTTAATATGTACTATTTTATCATGAACTAAAAATTTGAAGAATATTTTAGAAATGTTGACTTAATATATATTATATATTTATTTAATTTAATTTTAATACTTGCATTAGTACAAAAGTTATGTTTTAACTTATTACGACGTGTTAAATTACCATTAGTAAATTGAAAACTTTTACTCATACTTTTTAAGTCATTTGCATTTAGACTTTTTCTTTTTTCTTTTTTTACATCATCTAGCAAGCATTGTAACATTTTTCTTTTTAGATATATATAAATTAATGATAACATAATAGTAGATAATTATTAATTTAATAATTAATTATTAAAAATTTAAATATAATCAATATAAGTTAATAGTAATCATTGATAACTTAGTAAAAAATTAGTAATAACTTAACAGTAAATGAATGATAATTTAGTAGATAATTTTTTAGTAAATCAGTAATAATATAATAATAAATGTATCATACCTTAATAATAAATTA